CGTCATTTTAAACATGTTTTCGTCCCTTAAATAAATGGTTCTTGGAGAGAAAAAAAATATGAAAAAAGAAATATCTGTAAGAAAGGCACTCTCTGCAAATTGAATGGGGATACCTTCTAACATTTGGAATATGACATTTTTGTGGCAATTGCTTGTTTGTGTGTTTGTGTGTTCCAGAACTGGCACTGCGCAGCGAGAATGTGTACGCCAGAAACAATGCAGAAGGAATCAGGAATGCCCAACTAACTTTTGCTGCGTATTCGACTTTCTGACGTCAACAGCAGGGTCCACCTGCAATCCTCGCTCACGGTACACTACCCCAAGGCCGACACTGTACCACACCCACAGCGCTGGGCCCCCATCTACGTCATCACCGTCACCTCTACCTGGTCTGTGTGTTGCTAGAGTACAGATTGTTGGTGGCCTGTGCTATCGTCCCCTCCCGGGACAGGACACACCTTCCTGCTCTTGTGACTCCAGCGTTGCCTCTATCGCGTGTACATTTAGTACTCAAGGATCAATCGCAGGCATTTGCACACCCACAATTTAACCACATTTGTGAAAACTATTTTTGCCTTTGAAAGTTCAGTGATTATAAAAACGTGTTTGGCTAAATTATCAAAATAGGCCTACTGTTTGGTTCCATTAGATCAATTTGAATAAATATTGCAAATTTGCGAAGAAAGGAATGTGGGTACATTGTTATTATCTTCAGATGTCTTTTCCTTTTTTTTTACTTCTTCCTTTGCATTTCTGCTTCTTCGATTATGTATAGCTTTGAACTGTCTGTCAGTTCACCGGCCAGTCTGTCTTCGTTTAATGCGTCAGTTAATTGTGTCTCTTTATTTAGCTGGTGCTAGATAGAGACAGCGTGTTTCGCTATGGAAGATATTAGATCTAATTTCATTTAGATTTTCAGGGAATAAACTGTTGTTTTTTTTAACAGTAGGCCTACCACAAAAAGCCTTTCGGCTTTCCTCCATCTTTGCCTTTCATTCTTCCATTTTTATGTGGTATTGCACAATTTCGCATTACATGCGGGATTTGAGTTGCAACATTGTCACGTTTGAAATATTTATACATTCACTAAGCATTTTTGTTTATATATATACTGGCGATCAAAAGAAAGGTATCACCTTTCGGTCCCCCTTTCCTGTAAAACAATAATGATTTTTTCGACCAAAAAATTGAAACATAGATCTGATAATATTAAGTATTTCACGGTGACTGGTGTGTTTTTCATCAACAATGTTTCTTTTATGACTGAAATTTGACGACAGGGGTAAAACCCAAAAGTCACACATCAGTACGCCATGTGATCTCCATGTGCATTCAGCATATCAGTGTATCTTCTGCCAAAGTCTAAGGCATTGGAGAGGGTTTGCTGCAGCTGTGAAATGGTTCTGGGACCGGGATTCATGTCAGAAGCAATTACACCGTTCATCCTTCCCACAAGTGCCCAATTGGGTTCAAATCTGGTGAAATGGCTGGCCGTAGATTCATTACACAGCGACGTTATTGTGGATTTTAAAAAGTAATTTCAAATGGAGAGCACAGAGTCCTTTTGAAATGTCATGGGCTAGTTGTGTTGTTGAAGAAATGAAAGATGGTGCTCATGTGGTCTCCTGTGCACTTTTATACTCTCATCGCGGTGTTATACTTGGAACTGAGAATAGTCCGAGAAGGTGACGGTGTCCCACTGCTCTAAGTCCATCAGCGGAGTAGCTGTGGCCAGTTCATTTTCTGTTTCGAACATATGCGTATATATAGTATATGTAGGCATCACCTTCAATCCTTAATTCTCCCAGTCTGTGAGGAACAGTACGCCGGCTGACGAGTAAAAGTCCAGGAAATTGTCTTGCTGTTTGAGCAACTGTCCTGAAACGATTTCTCCGATGCTCACTCACTGCTCACTGATCCCATAATCCACGAGGATCGCAGGGGCGTTGTATGATAGGGAGCCTCGTCAGGTGCCTCCACTTTTCACGTTTTTTTTGCGAGCGCCCGAGTTTGGGCGAAGGATGTCCTTGTCCACTCCACAATGCAGTCGGTCCACCTCTCTCTTTGCCTTCTTCACCTTCTCCTCCCCCGTACAGTCCCTTGAAGAATGATCTTGGATAGACCACACGATCTTCTTACATGGCCATACCAATTCTGTCTTCTTCGCTTCGCAGTAGATAGCAAGTCTAAATTGTGACTCATGTGTTGTTTCACTCTACAGCGCATTTCCTCATTTGTGACGTGGTCATTTTGTGAGAAACCAAAGTGTCGACTAAAGCATCTCATTTCGGCTGCTTGGATCTTCCTCTGAAGCTCTGCCGTCAAGTTCCATGATTGACAAGCATAAAGAAGGATGGAGATGATGAGAGCATAGAGTAGTCTGATTTTGGAATTTACTGACATGTTTCTATCTTTCCATTTGGTCTAATGATAGCACCAAGGTACTTTAAGTGGTCGACTGTTTCAATTAGCAGTTGACTAACATTATTGAACGTCATTTTGGTTTTAATGGGTTGGTAACTATTTCTCATAATCTTTGTTTTCTCTGCAGATGCACTGCCCTGATATATCCGCCTTGAAATGGTTTTGTTACCCATGGATGGCCAGTTCTGGCTCGGTCTTGAATAAACTTGTCGCAACATACCATTGTTTCATTAGGCTGTTAGTCCTTCTGCTGACGTTGCATGTCCTCCAAGCAACAGCAGCGCGCTGAGAGTGCCGATGGCTCGATTTTTCTGATTTCGAGTTAAAGGTACCGTCTTTTTTGGGTGACAATGATCACATGTTTATGCGTTTTTGAGTCAACACTCAACACGGACCTATACTTCATGAAAAACAAAGAATTGAGAAATTCTGCCAGATGGCCGGGGAAAAATCCCAATTTTCTGGGGGGGTTCACGCGAGTACCATGCCTAGGCCCTCCTAACTGAAAGACCAAAAATAATAGTGCCCTAGTGCGCACTTGCTTATAAACCCGGAGTTGTCAAAGGGAACTTTCTCTAGATTCCAGATCTAATGGCAGTCGGTTCATAATATGGTTAAAAATGATACTAGTTTCTCGATAATAGAAGACATAGATAATATGTGATTGAAATTGGAAGCAGAAAAAAGTTGCTTAATATAATATTATTATTACTAGTCAAAAAAGCTTTTCAATGTGGAGGGAAGTAAGCTACATTATGCAGCTGCATGGCTGTCAGGCGCGGTTCGTCCATATAGCACGGTCGTACAGTGCCGCCCAAATTTTTTAAATGTTCTTTTACGAAAAGCACCCACAAACATTAAATAAAAAAGTCAGAAACAAACACTAGCCAAATATAATATCAAAACAAGGTCCTTGCTGGCGCTGTAACTGTCATTTCAGAGTCAAAAGCGCCGCAAAACATCTACTATGCCTTGCCAAAGTCCACGCGCTTTAACCAAACGTAATAGAATATCAAACAGTAGCTATCTGACCTATAAATCGCTCTTTGGGATAACCCAAGCGATGACAACACTCGTTGCGAGTTTGGCGGTACATTAATATTAATAAGACGGCACATCTCAAATGTGCACCCACGAAACATAGCCCAAAGCAGGAAGTCTAAAAATAAAAGTGATAGCTTGTACACTATTCAATGCCAAAATTATGTGATCGCCGGAGCAATTCAGCTTAGTGCTCAAGTGAACTGTGATTGATTCATTGTCTTGCCATTATTTTAAGCGACTCTGTGACCGTGAACCTGAGGGAGGTGAACGTGACATAATATACTTAAGTCAGCGTCCTTTGAGTTGTGCCTTTGAATGGTTTTGTAGTGGAGTGGTGAAAGTTATAACTTGAGTGTTCAGTTCCGATGCAGGATGAACGAAATTGCTGTTTAACTAACAAACAGATTTAGTTCTAGAAATCAAAGCGACAAGTAAAAAGAATAAAAATAAAAGCACCAAGTCCTCCCTCACCAACCCAGAGATCCTAAAATTATACACCATCCCATTTACTCTGCCCTTGACTATCTTCAGCCTAAGCTAGCTTAATTGTGCACGCCCACTTTTTAGCCCCACGAGCCGCCCCTGATGGCTGTAGTATGGGGTTACTTTACACTTAATTTTAAGAAGTACAAAATTTTCCCAGGAACTATCTAACATCGGATTTCGCCCGCGCGAGCACACACACGCACGCACGCACACACACACACACACACACACACACACACACACACACACACACACACACACACACACACATGGGAAGGAAGTCAAGAGGGAGAATAAGAGAGAGAAGTTGGCACATCTGCAGATCAGCTGTCGGTTCGGGTGGGGACGCGGGGCCGGGGGGGGGGGGGGGGGGGAAGAGAGATTGGGGAGGGGGGGGGGGTGGCAGGACCCATGCAGAGGCTCTTGACTACTTTTTTCCCAATTGGCATCTTGTAACCCGTTCTTCTCAGTGGCGTCGCGTGGGTTGCAGACAAGGTGGTGCATAATTGGAAAGTCAGCAAATGGGCTATAGGCTTGGATCTAGATCTAGATTCTAGTAGTTTCTATTAAGATTTCTAGAGAAAGTCAATTAGAATCTGCAAGATATCCCGTAATCTACATCTATCGATATTTACAATTGTTTCAAGATGAAACCAAAGAGTATGAAACCGCATAAAAATTGCAATAAAGTGAAACTCACTACGCTCACAATCTGAGAAGATATAAAGATTTCTAATTACTTCGTGCAGCACCAGGACTTGCTACACAATAGAGGGAGGCGAACAAAATTTTAGCTTGCACCAATTGGTGCTGAGAAGAGCAGTTTCATGCACCTTTCGCCTTGTGCAGGAAGAACGGTGCCTCGATTAAAATAACGATTTCTCTATTGTGACAAAAATAACTTTGGTGCAAAGATTTTGCTTGCTCCCACTCCCAGCAGACACTAGGCCTAGGCTACCGCAAGCGGTGTGACGAGCGTAGGCTAGGCTAGCCCAAGGCCTTCTCAGTCTAGGCCTAGGGCTAGCCTAAACCATCCTCGCCGCTCGCCGTCTGTCTCTTCACTGGCACAGCCTGCAGGTGACGAATCGGGGGGTGAAGGCCAGGGTTTAAGTGGAGCGCTTGCGCCAATTGCACCAATAGCGCCCCGCCACTGGTTCTTCTCACCTTGATAAAGATAGATCTAAATAAAACCATATTCTAAATAGGCCCCAGATCTAGCCTGGCACAGAAGTCGAGATGGGAGGACAACATCCAAGAATGGACAACCATAGAGCTGCGGAACACACCGTGGAAAGCAGAGAGCCGAGGGGACTAGAATTGGAGGTTTGTTGTCACCATGGTGGTAAGGTCCTTTGAGGCGACCCAAAGGATGATAAAAATCTTCGGGAACAGAAGAAGAAAAGAAGATCATTAATAATTGGCCTACGAGCAGGCTCTTCAATATTATTAGCAAAAGGAAGAGCCTAGCCGTACTAAATGACGGCTATACGGCTAGGCTAGCTGTAGGCCTGCTTAGATCTAGATCTAAGTACGGCTAGACTGTCAGGCTAGCCGTACTTATTCTTAATATGATGGCTAGACTGACCATAAAAAGGCGTACTGAATTGTAAGTAAATTTTAAGTTTGCAGTACCTAAAGTATTTGTATTTGAGACGAAACCAGGTGCCTTAATAACAGTGCATGTGTTTTAAACCTCCTGTTTTGTAATGTTAATAGGGCCTAAGATAAGTACGGCTAGACTGTCAGGCTAGCCGTACTTAATGGCTGAATTGTAAATGAAACTTTTAGTTTACAAAGCCTAAAGTATTTGTATTTGAGACAAAACCAAAAGATGCCTTACTGACTTGCATTATTTAAACCTGAGTAATTACTAGATCTAGATCTAATGAAACCTGTGTACTCAACAGGTTATCGAGTCGATAGGGCCAAACCTAAATCTAAGTACGGCTAGACTGGCAGTCTAGCGTGTCTAGCCGTAGGCCTACTTAAAGTACGGCTAAACTCTCAGGCTAGCCGTAAAATGTTGACCTGCATGTGCGTAGTATTACACAGGGGCGGCTCGCCCATAGAGCACGGTCGTGCACTGCCGCCCAAAAATTGTAATGCGCAAAACACCCACAAAGAGACAATAGAAACGTTACCTTCCACCATCCAATCAGTGGTCCGAACAAGTAAAAGTTCCTCGCCAGAGCTTATTCGCTCATAACAACATCTACTACCAGCTAGAACATCTACTATACCCAGGGACGGTTTGTTAACTGGGCAAGACCAGATTTTTGTCAGCTGAACTGTTGACTAGAGGTTTATTGCTGATGACGATTTTCATTCATTTTTAAGTAAATCCAAACAAACAAGTATCAACATTCAAAAACACCTTGCCGATTTGAAGGCGCTCAAATAGACAAGTGGGATTCACTACTGTATTGTCGCGACATAACCTCACTCCTTCACGTTTGTTATCGCGCCGGCTCGTAACTTTAAATCGTCTCCCGGCAAGCCGTCACGTCGCGGCACTTCGTACTACGTACGAGGCCAAACACACGGCGGGCTAGGCTTAGGCCTATAGCGATGACGTCAGTCCCATGGACAAATCCATCGTCAGCCCACAGAGCGATTAGTACATCCCTTAATTGCCAGATTGGCCTCTTTGTAGCTTACAAAATTAAGAATGAGACTGTCTTGAGCAGCACAGACACATGTATTATTTTATCAGCAAAACTTGTATTTATCATTCAGCCTTTCTCTAACTGCTATCAGAACATTTATTGTCAGCATGGCACTAATCTTTTTTGTTTATTGACTTTTTGACCACCTATAGTTCCTGTTTGGCATTTACTTATCGTTTTCTCCCCACTAATAACTTACCTGGCCCATAGGAGTCTGGCCGGCGGAAGGAGGAATTGTCTAGTGAAGATATAGGAGAATTTTAACGAGGAGTGATAGGCACTCGGCTGTCAGAGTCTGGGCCAGGCCTACCCCCTCCCTTCCCTCCCCTTTTCCACCGTCACCCCAGCTAGGCACCAAGTTCTATAATTAGCATTTGACACACTTCCCCAGTTTGTTACAACACAGTGTTCAGTGTTCAATTCGGAGAACTGAAAAGTGCGATGAAGTACATTAAAATTTGATGATATAATGATCGGAAACCTGTGTGCTAATTTTGTCCAGCTTTGTACAGTATCTGATTGTAGACTTGATCTGCTTGGGACAGCGTCACTGGTGCAGTAGCAATTGACTTTTTGTCATCATACAGGACAGTTCTTATTACATATATTTAACGGGTCCAGTGCACGTCGATATTTTGTGTGGGGGTGTAGAAAGTACAAGTAAAGTACTGTACTGGAGACCAGGACCAGCGATAATGCTTTTCACTTTCAGTTTGTTTTCTGGCATAGACTCAAGTAGTGTTTCTTTTTCTGTGCCGATCAAGTGAGTTTCTATTAATCTCAGTAACTTCCATCTTACATAAATTCATAATATTGTTTCTTGACGCTATTATATTACAATGTTTACTGTGGTGTGTGTGTGTGTGTGTGTGTGTGTGTG